GGATTTGGGGTCCCAGGTGTTTGGGATTGGGAGACCCAAATGTTTGGGATTTGGGGTCTCAGGTGTTCAGCATTGCAGGTCCCAGGTATTCGGGATTTGGAGTCCCAGGTGTGTCAGGTCTGGAGGGGGGTGGGTCCCAGGTGTTCAGGATTTGGTGTCCCAGGTTTTTGGGGTCCCAGGTTTTTGGGGTCCCAGGTGTTCGGGATTTGGGGTCCCAGGTGTTGGGGATTGGAGATCCCAGACGTTCAGGGTTAGAGATCTCAGGTGTGTCAGGTCCGGGGGCGTCCCAGGTGTTTGGGATTTGGGGTCCCAGGTGTTTGGGGTCCCAGGTGTTTGGGGTTTGGGGTCCCAGGTGTTTGGGGTTTGGGGTCCCAGGTGTTTGGGGTCCCAGGTGTTTGGGGTTTGGGGTCCCAGGTGTTTGGGTGTGCAGGGGCTCAGGACACCCCTGGGACGTGCAGGGGGCGTGCAGGGGGAGTGTGACAGGTGTGCAATGGGTGTGACAGGTGTGTCACAGGTGTGCAGTGGGGTGTGACAGAGATGTGTCACAGGTGTGTCACAGGTGTGCAATGGGGTGTGACAGGTGTGTGTGACAGGTGTGCAAGGCTCCAGATGTGCCCATGGGTGTGCAAGGAGAGTGTGACAGGTGTGCAGCACCCCAGAGGTGCCCATAGGTCTCGGGTGTTCAGGATTTGGGATTCCAGGTGTGTCAGGTCGGGAGGGGGTCCCAGGTGTTTGGGATTTGGGGTCTCAGGTGTTCTGGATTTGGGGCCTCAGGTGTTTGGGGTTTGGGGTCTCAGGTGTTTGGGTGTGCAGGGGCTCGGAACAGCCCAGGGGTGTGCAAGGGGAGAGTGTGAGGTGCCCAGGGGTGCCCAGGTGTGCCCAGGGGTGCCCAGGTGTGGCCAGGTGTGCCCAGGTGTGCCCAGGGGTGTGCAGGAGGTGTGCATGGGTGTGTCACAGGTGTGCAAGGGCCTACAACACCCCAGGTGTGCCCAGGGGTGTGCAAAGGGAGTCTGACAGGTGTGCAACACCCCAGAGGTGCCCGTGGGTCCCAGGTGTTCAGGATTTGGGGTCCCAGGTGTGCAAGGGCTCAGAACAGCGCAGGGATGGCCAGGGGTGTGCAAGGGGAGTGTGACAGGTGGTGCCCAGGTGTGCCCAGGTGTGCCCAGGTGTGCCCAGGTGTGCAAGGGGCGTGCCGGGGGAGTGTGAGAGGTGTGCGAGGGTGTGCAACACTCTGGAGGGACCTGTGGGTGTGACAGGTGTGTCACAGGTGTGCAATGGGGTGTGACACGGGAGTATCACAGGTGTGCAATGGGGTGTGACAGGGGTGTGTCACAGGTGTACAATGGGGTGTGACAGGGGTGTGTGACAGGTGTGTCACAGGTGTGCAGTGGGGTGTGACAGGGGTGTGTGACAGGTGTGTCACAGGTGTGCAGGGCTGTACAACAACCGAGAGCTGCCCGTGGGTCTCAGGTGTTCCGGATTTGGGGTCCCAGGTGTTCGGGATTTGGGGTCCCAGGTGTTTGGGATTTGGGGTCTCAGGTATTCGGGATTTGGGGCTCAGGTGTTCAGGATTTGGGGCTCAGGTGTTTGGGTGTGCAGGGGTTCAGGTGTTCGGGATTTGGGGCTCAGGTGTTCGGGATTTGGGGTCCCAGGTGTTCGGGATTTGGGGTTCAGGTGTTCGGGATTTGGGGCTCAGGTGTTCGGGATTTGGGGCTCAGGTGTTCAGGATTTGGGGTTCAGGTGTTCGGGATTTGGGGTTCAGGTGTTCAGGGTTTGGGGTTCAGGTGTTCGGGATTTGGGGCTCAGGTGTTCGGGATTTGGGGCTCAGGTGTTCGGGTGTGCAGGGGCTCAGGTGTTCAGGATTTGGGGTTCAGGTGTTCAGGATTTGGGGCTCAGGTGTTCAGGATTTGGGGTTCAGGTGTTCGGGATTTGGGGTTCAGGTGTTCGGGTGTGCAGGGGTTCAGGTGTTCGGGATTTGGGGTCTCAGGTGTTCGGGATTTGGGGTCCCAGAATTCGGGATTTGGGGCTCAGGTGTTCGGGATTTGGGGTCTCAGGTGTTCGGGATTTGGGGCTCAGGTGTTCAGGATTTGGGGTCTCAGGTGTTCAGGATTTGGGGTTCAGGTGTTTGGGTGTGCAGGGGCTCAGGACACCCCAGGGCTGGCAAGGCCAGGGCTCGGCTTTTGGGGGTCCCAGAATTCGGGATTTGGGGGGTCCCGGCTCTGGGGTTTGGGNTGGGATCTGGGAGATCCCGGGATTTGGGGGGACACAGGATCTGAGATTTGGGAAATGCTGGAGTTGGGGTGTCCCGGATCTGGGGGTTGGGGGATTCGAGGAGACCCCGGGAATGGGAGATCCCAGATTTGGGGGGACACGGGATGTGGGATCAAGGAGATCCCGGATTATGAGGACATGGGATCAGGGAGATCCCAGATTTTGGGGGGACACAGGATCTGGATCAGGGAGATCCCGGGTTTTGGGGGGACACAGGATGTGGGATCAGGGAGATCCCGGGTTTTGCGGGGATGTGGGATTTGGGATCAGGGAGATCCCGGGTTTTGGGGGGACACAGGATCTGGATCAGGGAGATCCCGGGTTTTGGGGGACGCTGGATTTGGGATCAGGGAGATCCCGGGTTTTGGGGGGCGCTGGATTTCAGGATTGTGTTTGGGATCAGCAGATCCACCTGTCCGGAATTCAGGGTTCCAGGTGTTTGGGATTGGGTGACCCCAGATTTTGGGGTTCTGGGTGTCAGGGTTTAGGGGATTCCTGGATTCTGGGAGACCCAGACACCCCGGGTGTCCAGGATTTGGGACTGGGGACACCCTGGATTTTGGGGTCCCAGGTTTCCAGAACTGGGGGAACTCAGGTGTGTCAGATTTGGGGTCCCAGGTGTTCCGGGTTTGGGGTCCCAGGTGTTCAGGATTTGGGGTCCCAGGTATTTGGGGTCCCAGGTATTCGGGATTTGGGGCTGGGGGCTGCAGGGCTGGGGGGTGCCCGGGCTCTCGGATTTGGGGTTCGGGGCCCAGCAGGTCCCTGTGCCCCAAGGGCTGAGCAGGGCATGGGGGGGGAGGTGCAGGGACCCGGCTTGGGGATCCCCGGCCCCATTTGGGGGTTCCTGACCCTATTTTGGGGTTCCCTGACCACATTTGGGTTCCCTGTCCCCATTTGGGGTTCTCTGACCACATTTGGGGTTCTCTGACCACATTTGGGGTTCCCTGACCCCGTTTGGGGTTCCCCGACCCCGTTTGGTGTTTCCTGACCGTATTTTGGGGTTCCTGCCCCCCCAGGGCTGATCCAGGTGTCCTTTCCATTCGGGCTGGCACAGCGGGATCCGGTGTGGAGGGATTTGGGTACCCCGGGTGTTTTGGGGTTCCCCGAGTATTTTGGGGTTCCCCGGATATTTTGGGATCCCCTGACCATTTTTTGGGGTTCCCGCCCCCCAGGGCTGATCCGGGGCGCTCTCCCGTTCGGGCTGGCTCGCCGGGAGCTGGCGTGTGAGGGGTACCCGCTGGAGCTG